CACTATTTATATCTATATTTAATTGTATACCTAATTATGTTCTTTTATCAGGTTCAAACCACGATTCAAACTTTAAACGTATGTTATCACTTCATAAGTTACCTCCATAGATGTTCGACAGGCCTGGAGGGTAATGGTATAGGACCATTCTATACCTAGGTAGCTTCAGTGGTATATCAAAGTCGGTGATAATCACTATCACTTTTCGAAGGTCTCTTATCAGTTAACATTGTTCGTCGCGTGGGTATAATATTATTGTGATATTTATTATTTATATTCATCTAATTTTTTTTTTTATCTTATTATTAGTTAATCATTCATTCCTAATTCGAAATCATAAATCACTCTAACAAAATCTATCTCAACTCTTGGTTCTAAAATATTGCAATATTTTTATTTGCGTTTATAATAATAATATTGCATCTATCACTAAACATTTTATATTATAATTGAAATCATAAATATGGCTGTAGATATGGACTTAAAAAATGTAAGTAAAACCTTTCGTTATTTTGTTACTTTTGAATTTTGTTACTTCTTGATACTAAATCTTCCCATAGTGTGCATGTCATCAAATAGGCTCTCTCAATTAATAACTGTTGCTTTTATCAATAAAAAAAAGTCTTAATGTAACAAACCTACCTATGATCCACAAAAACCATCATTTTTTTAAAAATAAATTTCACATTCCAAAGTGGTTATCAATTGTTAAATAAACAATTTACAGTGAATTAGTTGATTTGTTTGTGAATGTTCATTAAGGCTATTCAGTTTTTATGAATTTTTTTATCATATTATAATTACCTACCTACCTTTTAGAAATATTAGATATTACATTCTTTTGATTTTCTATGAACCAAAATATTTAATACTTATGAATGATTATCCTTTATAAGTAGCTTACGATGATCCTTTTTAGTGTTCCTTCATCAAGAGATGCCTAGCAGAAGGTTACAAATTGAATAGGTAAACAACTAAGTCTGATTCAACATATGTTTTAATTGACCATTGTTGGTAATCGCTGTACTTCACAGCATATGAGTGTATTTATTCATGATGGACATACTATTAATTTGTAAATACTAAATATGTTGACTATATATTAATTTTTACTTTCTGTAATCGGTAAATGTAGCACGATTCAATGTGTTTAAAATCGGATATTCAAATTGATTTAGACATTAACACAAGTAAGTAACTGGTACCCGTACCTTCCTACTACCATTGATTAAATATACAATATTGTATATTTAATCAATGCTACTACTCATTACATGCTACTCACTATTCAGTGGTTCATTGGTAAATAAACTCAGAGTATAAGTTATTATCTTAATAAAAACTCAAGAAAACTCATTACACTCAAAATATTTACATCACTTGCCAATAATTGTCATATTATACAAATATTATTAATTATACATAGATAAAGCATATAATATGCATTACACATACATAAATATGTTAGTATAACTTTCATGAAACTTTTCTTTAAAAAAAATGTGTTAGTTGTTAATGTGTTTTTATTGATTTCATTTTTATAATATTGACAGAAGTAAAATTGTTGAGCATGTCCCTATAAAAAATTGACCTGCCCTTAACCGTTCCCTTCGAAAAAAAATGTTGGTGCTGTTCCTTCAATTTATTCATGGTTCATAAAGTCAAGTGTTATAAGTTTGTAGCTTACTTATTTTAAAATATGTGCTATAAATCTTGACATAACACTAAAAAAGAAAATATAATTAAGTTATTCGTATTGCAGTCATAATACAATCAAATGAACAATTGTATTAGATATCAATATTTCTTATTCCAAGTCAGAAGTTTGAACAGATAATTAATATTTATATAACTGTTTTATTGAATATATTGCTTAATATTATACAATTATGATTAAATTAACCAGAACTACTGCATATTTATATACTAAAATACATATTTAACTATTGTAAATTATATGATTGTTTCAGGCATTCAAAGAACTTCATGAAAAACTATTATATGCATCTCAAAAAATAAAATTGGCTGATTTACAAATTGATACTCTTCGCCGTACAAAGCAACATAATATTCTTACTAAGCAAGAACTAGAGGTATTAAAGTGTATAAATACATAACATTAATGTGTTGTTTATATTATATAAACATGTATATAGGAATAGAATAGTTCTTTTAACTAGTCTCACTTATTATCTCAAAAAATGTATGTTTTTGAAAAAATCTTAATGTACTCAAATCTAAATTTTGAACAAGTAGATCATTATAATAATAAATTATTACAAATAATTAGTCATTTAATTCATAATTGATAATTTTAGTTTGTTGCATTTGCCATTTATACTGGTATTTAAAGTACTTGTAGAGCCGCAGTGGTTTTAAAATGTTTTTTTTTTTTGTCTGTAGAAAATACCAAAAGATGTAAATACATATGAAGCTTTAGGCCGTGCATTTGTATTAACACCAAGAGATGAAGTATTTAAAAACTTAGATAAAGTTAACAGTGATACCGAACAAAAAATTACTGTCTTAGAAGTAAGTTTATTTCAAATAAAAAAGATTAACATAAAATATTAATTGGTTTTATTTTATTTTAGAACACTAAACAATATTTGGAAGGTAATTTAAAAGAAAGTGAGAATAATTTGCGTGAAATGGTACAACGCAAAAGAGATGTTGGTGGTGACAAAGAAAATCAACCAGGCAGTTCTAAAGACTAAAATAATTTAAATTTGGCTTTTCTTTAAATTCTAATGTATTAAATTAACATCAATTTGGTATTTTTTTGTTTTCTAACACCGTTCCTTTTAACAATGCGTTTGCTTACTTACCTACTAGAAAAAACCAATTTATGAAATTACTTATATATTATAATAAAATCATTATAACATTATTATTTTTTTTTATTTTAAAAACAGGGAAGTTGTTCTGAAAACTTGCTGTATTGTAGGCGTTTGCTCATCATTGAGTAAGTCTTTGTAATGGATTTATTAAATAATTTAATTTGAATTCAATGATGAGAATATATCGCCATCTTTAATTTCTATTGATATTTTGTACCAATTTATACTGCTATTTGTAATTTATTTTGCTATTAGCAATACAGTATGTTGAACTTTATTTTTGCTTAAAATATGACAATATATAATAATTATAATAATATAATGTATTTATATTATAGATGTTGATTTTAACTTATAAATCCATACTGTCATACAGTTATGATAACATGGTAAATCGATTATGACACTGTTACTGAAATTAAAATACATAATCAGTTTAAAATCCCTTGGATTAATATTTTTTGAATTACAGCTTAAAAACCGAAACTATTGGAGGAAAAATCATTATTAATTATCATCTAAATATTCAATTTTGTCTACAATAAAAATTCTACAAAAAAATTTCCACTCTTGTATTTTTGATATTTTTAGAATGCTGTAAGATAAACTTACGAGGAACCTTGTGAGACATTTTCAAGGTCTTAGACTATGAAATAATGTTTATCAGTTATCACTATAAATCCAAAAATAAATCATAAATTTAAAATGGCTACCTATATATAGCTCAAAATGAGCCAAAATATTATTTTAATTATTTGATGTGCAGAAAATCCTGCTACAATGGTGAAAATCAAGTCTTGAATTTTACACTTTTTATACTTTACAACCCTACAACAATTGATTTTATCAAAAACTTGTTAATCGTGTTCCTTTCACGATTTTTTTGTACTGGAAATTGTCTATTTTGGATATTCATTCAAAGTTCCAATATGATATCAAAAACCACTCTCAATTTGAGTATTTATACTTAGTAATCTTACTAATGTGGCACTAGTTTTACTGCTCCTACAAAAGTGATAATGACGATAGATAGAAAGACATAAGACTTTTTCAATATTTCTAATCTTTAATCTACCAATGTAAACCTTTTCAGGCTACAATTCTTATTATGTAACATTGATGTTATTATGGTTAAATTAATCAGAATAATAAGCTGTAGGCTAAAACCCAACAAATTTAATCAAAAATTTCGAGTGCACTTTTATTTAGCTAAAAATGACATTGGACAAGGTTGCTCTTGAAAATGAAAATAAAATACGAAATAATATTTATGAGTGTGTTATAAATTATAAATAACAAGTTTTCAAACTATTTTAAACAGGGGGAATAGATAGAAATTTGATCACGATTTCATATGACTTACACCAGTTTCAAAAAGAATACAAATTGTATACACTATATATGAGCCAGATAGCGAGGAGCCGAGGACGTAAGTGAGTGGTACATGAGTGTCATGAGTGTGTTTTAAAATTGTCCACCATTTCGTGACGACGCGACCATTTATCGATTTTCAAACCACCCCGCTGGTCCCCACCACCCCGCTGACCTCCACCACCTACCACCAGACGCCATATTGACTGGCGACAAAATCAAGATATCGATGTTTGACAAAAATAATAAGCTACTGTCGATTACACGAGAAACGATTGTTTAGGACGTACTCCATACTCCATTACTCCATAAGTTACAAGCTTTCCATAGCAAGCTGCTGCTGCTGCAACTATCGAACCATCGAGCATACCGAGTATCGATAGTCTGACGACGATTTTTAGACCGCCGGTCCCGACTCCCGATCGTCCCGCAGTCCGCACTACCACGTTAAAACTTTAATGATTAGTCGCGCGCTCAAACTTTTCCATTTCTGTAGTAACGTTTTCTTCTCGCCATCGCTTTTAGTCGTTATCATAGACAAGAATACTATCTCGACGACGTCTCTTCAGTGAAGACAGTACAGCCGCCCACCCGCGCACAATGGCCAACCCGAAAGTGTTTTTCGACATGACCGTCGACGGACAACCGGCCGGCAGGATCGTAATTGAAGTAAGTTGTTGTCCCGCGCTGGTGCCTACCCGACAATAATAATATAAAATAATGCCATCGTCCAAGGGCGGGCAGTGCATTTGAGCCTACAATATTTCTGAAATTTTTTGCGGGTAGGAGAACTGAGTAGCCGGCCATCGAAAATCGCCTTTACTCTTCGACATTCGTTGCTAAGACGTTAAAAAAAAATAATCGTGTCCTATGTACAAGTAATATATAGCTACGCACGTTTTTCAGGTGTAAGGGTGGGCGCGGCGCTTTATATTTGTGTCCTCAAATGACATCCGATATTTCGTCTAGATTTGGCATCGCCGACACAAAAATGTACAATTTTTCGTTGTTAGGGGGAGGGGGGCTATAATTATGATATATTTTTGTTCGTAAAAAATAATTTTTTTTTTTTGCCACAAAATGTTGCTTCTAATCATTCTGCAATTTTTCTCCAGTGCACGTTCTAAGTGCAAATCGATACTATGTAATGTGGATGGACAGGCCCCCATACGTTCGGCACAGACAACCGTCATAATCGCGTCCTATCATTGCGCGCCGTATCTACTTACATGCCTTACGACCTTATGAGGTACATGTTATCCGTACATAGACAAGTTTACTACAACTATGCTGGTTATTAGTTATTACTTGATGTGACTCGCCATCTCACAGGTGTTCGACGAGGTTATGTTTGGAGTTTAGGCTAATTTAGCGTTCATTTAGATGGCCTACGGTGCCCCCACCGTAGTATCATTATAGTTATTAGTCATACCATGTTTTATTCCAAGAAGCGTTCAGAAATATCCAATGCAAATTATTACAATGTATAACCAAAGCGACAAGGCGTGTTTTAAATATTATGACGTGGACAATGTCGCATAATATATAATTTTTTCAATAATTGGGGTCTTTTACCTCCAAGTTAAGAGGCGGTAGGCCGGTCGACCGTTATTTTTTCAAACACCTATTATTTATTTACATACCACGAGAAAACTAGTACATAGTAATCGATCAATGTTGATTGTAATTAATACATTATACATTTAAAATGTCGTAAAAACAAAAAAACAAATATATTGACGTACTATAAATCAATTAAATTTTGATTATGGAGAATTTTTTTAACATGAATATTGTAATACTTACAACTTCCTTTTTTAGTGTTTACAATATTACAATATTTACCCTAGGGCGCAATAAGAATAGATAATGAGTAAAAATTATATAATAGGTATATTGTATACTTAACTGAATTGCTCAATGAAAGAATCCACTCAGCGGCAATACTTCCCACTTTTTCTTACTATTATATTATTTCCTACTTAAAAAAAAAAATTATTACAATTTCATAAGCTTTAAAAATAATGGCCTACCTTGTTTTAGCTTTAATTAAATTAATTATTTTATGCTATAGTTACGAAAAGACGTTGTGCCAAAAACTGCTGAAAATTTCCGTGCCTTGTGTACTGGAGAAAAAGGTTACGGTTATAAAGGTAGTGTTTTCCATCGTGTCATCCCCAACTTTATGTGCCAAGGAGGTGACTTTACCAATCATAATGGCACTGGAGGCAAATCCATCTATGGTGCCAAGTTTGGTGACGAAAACTTTACCCTTAGACATACTGGACCAGGTATGAATTTAAAATTGATTGTTTTATTATAAGTAAAAGCTAATATACGATTGTGTTTTCATAGGTATTTTATCAATGGCTAATGCTGGTCCAAATACCAATGGTAGTCAATTTTTCATCACTACAGTCAAGACTACATGGTTAGATGGTAAACATGTTGTTTTTGGATCTGTGACCGAGGGTATGGATGTCGTAAAAAAATTAGAGAGTTATGGAACTGATACTGGAGAGACCAAAAAGAAAGTTGTTGTAGCTAACTGTGGAGAACTTTAAGCCTTTTTACACATATTTTGTTATTAACATTTCATTTAAAAATATGCTGAATTTTATGTTAACTTTATTCAGGAATCGGAAACATTCCATCTTTTTTATTATTATATAACTAATTTTCTCCTATTTTTTTTTTTTATTTTACTCTTGTGTATGAATGAATAACTTGAATTGTTTAGAAAATTATAACAAGCTGATGATAATTTTTAGATGAAGAAAAAACATTAACAGTTATTAACTAGTTCTCTTCAATATTTTTTTCATCTAGTGTTACAACAGTGGCTAAAAAAAATAATAATAAATAGCAATTAAATAAACTAATGTCTTATTATTTTATCCTTAAATTAAATAAATAACAAAATCTAAACACATAAAATATTCAAATGTAAGTATCCCAATGAGTGACCTAACACTTGAAGAAAAAATAATTAAATTTAACTAGCTTCTAGTTTTCAGAAGTATTTATAAATAATTTTATAATTTATAAGTGATATATTATATGTTGTATTATCAATGAAAATAGTAATTGGTAAGTTCTAATATATTTTATACTCCGAACTTAAATAAAGCTGAAGAACAGAGTACATCCTGGCCTAACTAAGCTTAACTATTATGTTAAAACAAAGTAAGATAAAATAGTGTAATTAAAAAAGATAATTCATCATTAAGTACACACCAGGCTATCAGCCCCGTACCAACCTAAATTAATTTTATAAAAGGATATAATATATTGAAAATGTTGGGGAAGAGGCTAAAATTATTTTCATAAATCTAAAAAGTGGGGGCTCCGTCCCCACACCTATTTAGGGTTCAATTATTTACCAAATTTAAACATTAATATTCACATTGTATTTTATCCGAAAAAATCTATTTGCTTATTGATACAAAATAATACAATGCATAAAAGACAATATTAACATATTAATAATTAGGTAATAACAATAATGAATATTTTACTTTAAAACCAGCATTCAGGAGAATTTTGAGAATTTATTTTTAAATATCTTCACTTCCAATACTTTTACTCACCTTTAGTCAGGTCTTTTTCAATATGAAGAATAGATAGATTAGTAAACCGATCTCAGATCATAATAGTTCTCACCCATGTTTTAATTCTACTCATAGCTGTAAAACTAAGCTCGCAAGTTGCAGGGCTAACTTGCAAAGTGAGTGCTACTTGTAGCAATTTGTATAAATTCGGAAATATTTCTCTACTGACTGCGGTTTTCAAATCTTCAATACCCAAATTGGCGTTGCCATTATTTAATCAATTTTTAGCTACATTCATTTCTGATTTTAAATTTTGTTAATTGATACCCAATAAGTTGTAAAATATATAATTAAGAAATTATTTTTGATATTATGTTACCCTTTTCAAAATATATGTATAAATGTATAGTATAAAATACAAAGTATAAACACAAATGTAATGTAGGTATAAATGTAAGATGTATGAATGAGTATTAAATATAATTTAAATATTACTTTATAATGATCACAATAAATATTAAGCTTCCGCGATCGACTGATTGGTGACACCTGTCGTATAATATGTACTATGTACATAATATACCTATGTATATATAATATTTTAAAGAAAATGTTCTCAACATTTGAAATGTTCCATGTATATTTGAAAAAAATGCTTCTTAAAATTTTTTCGCTGAACTGTACAGTGATTTTATAATTTGGCAAACATTTTTGAGAGGGCTTAGTGGCTATGAGGGGGAGGGAGGCTAAGCCTTCTGGATATTCGCGATGCTAATATCTATTTTTAAAATATGGCAGCAAAGTGTAATGTAATATAATTGAATTTACTACATTATTATATATATATATATCAATAATTGTTGGTAATATTTACAGAGTGACATATTGATTAACGAATAACATCACATCTTACTCAAAAACTAGTTCTTAATGTTAAAATATAATTCTATTATTACTCAATACGACAATCAATAATATCTATTATCTAATTTAGATTTATTTTGTACAATATTAATATTGTTTAATAAGGTAATCGGTAAAAAAAGACCAAGGAAAAAAAGAACAATTTTTAAAAATTTTAAATAGTGTCCCACTAATCAATATTTTTTAAAAAAAAAATTTTAATACAATGCATAGACACTTATGCTATATTTTTGGTATTATTTATTATAAAAAAAAATACGAAACATAAATTTTTGATTTAGAACGTTCATCTAACTCGGAGACACCTCGAGCATAAATCTTGACTGTATTTGTACAGGATGTCTTAGCCATTAATTTCATTTTTGATACTGCTTTCATAACATTTACTTCGGATTGGTTTGCAGGATGATTGTGTTCTGTTGTCACGGTAGGATCAGTTTTCAAGATACTAGTCCTTAGTATTCTAGCACAATTTGTCGTATTTTTGGTTGAACATTTCCATGTAAAATAGTTTTTACCTTTGTGCTTTGTGATATAAGTATATCCTTCAAAAGCTACTTTTTCACCTCCTTTATTAAATTTTAAAATTTCCATTTCAAATGTATTTAAAAAATTGAAGTATAAAAATTTAGCATCTTACTTTATGCATCTTACTCTATATTATTATACTAAGCTTTATTGTATTTATGTTTCGTATTTTTTTTATAGTAAATAATAATAATAATAATAAATAATACCAAAAATAAAGCATACGTGTCTATGCATTATATTAAAATTTTTTTTTGAAAAAATATTGATTAGTGGGATAATGTTTAAAATTTCTAAAAATTGATCTTTTTTCCGTGTTCTTTTTTTCCTAGATACGTTTAATAACAATATAGGTAAGTACATTGCATGATTTGCTGTAATATGTGATGCGGGAGTTTTGGGACATACTATATAGGTAAGGTTTATAATATGCAGTGTACGGAACATTCACTAAAAAAATGAATTCATTCTCGTTCGGTCCTTAAAAATGGAACTCGTTCATTTTCATTGCAAAAATTAATGTGTTCACTAAGTAGTTTGTTAAATTTTTTATTATAGGAATTATAATAAGAAAATATTATTTAATCAATATATTTTAAACATACAGGTAAATTGCAAATTAATTGAGGGTCTCAAAAATCGTTCAAATTCATTAAAATATAAACGTACACGTACAATTTAATAAAAATGAGTGACGTTTGCGTAATGTTCACTAAATATGAACGTGAACGTTGATCACGCTTATGAACGACATTCCATCCAAACACTAGCTGATATGATATACACTAAGTTCTAATACAATTTATCTAATTGAAGATAATATTTTTTTCGGGGCTTTTTATCCGATACCACTACTATAACAAATAATTATAAGTAGGTACCTTAGATTATAAATACTTAGGTATTTAGTATTTACTATTTATATTGTCAATGCTCATGCCTCATACAATCATACTTGTCGGTGAGCCAGAAAAGTAGTACCTACGGGCTACGGGACTACGCGTGGTCGTGAATTCGGAATTCCGGACAATTGCTCCTGCTTTCAAATCAAGATCAAGGATTAAATTAAATATTATATTAAGATTTAGGATTGATCATGATTCATGGCGCAGTTATAATACTGTCGTGTATTGGGTACATTCTTACTAAAGTCAAGTGTACTAACTACTAATCGACGTTCGAGTGTTCGACAACGACATTGAGGGTTTAAAAATATTAACGGCAAATAGTATAAATGTCGACATACGCAAACGCGGTGACCCCGGCGCGCTGACCTGAAATTCTGACGATTTACAAACGAACGTCGCGGAGGGCGCGCACATTGTTAAGTCGCCACTCACTGACGAGTTTCCATTCTCTTTGGACGTCGTAGCGTCTGTGGGCCACATAACCTCGAAAACCATAGAAGAGCACCACAATGGCGTCCACCACGTTTCGCTTGTTCACCCGCCGGCAATTACAATACTGCTCTGCTCCGAGTCACTCGTACGCCGGAGGTCTCTCTTCATTCCTTTTATACTCAACGAAACCAAAAGCACCAACCGCCAAAATGAGTCTGCCGAAAGTGTTCTTCGACATGGCTGCCGATGGTGAAGCATTGGGCCGCATCACAATTGAGGTAAGTGGAGACGCCGCAAATTTTTTTCGATACGTCCCGTTTTGACTTTCCCAAACACGTTTGCCGAGAGCGCGTTTCTATCTCTCCTCTCATCGCAGGGGTACGTGCGTTTCTTGCCGGATTTCATTTTTACCACGTCGAAACGTGCGGAATTAGCATTTTCGTTTTGTCAGTTTTTGCTCTCTTACCTCTCACACATGCCTCACACCTTGATCATGACTGTAGTATCGAAATCCGGAATTGTTTTCTCTACGTTCGATTTCATCGAACATTCTTGTCGCCGACGTTTGGAACGCATCCAACATACTTCTATGCTGAATTGCTTATCTCCGTACCCTCTCGTGTTCGGTTGCTACGACAGAAATCATGACCCGATGACGCCATTTATGTTTCCGATGTTCCCCTCATTTCGGCCACTGGAAATGCTTTGAGACGTCCCGAAATGCGTTATGTCTGCTACCATTGGAAAGATACATGATCATAATAGCTTCCCCTTTTGCACTTCATTTTTGTTGTAGTACACGAATCGAATGTCATCTGTTGTCGCGAGACATTTGTACTTGACCGAAATCATTTGTCTTCTATAATATGAGTTGAAAAGATGTTTGTATGCAACACGTTTCCCATATAATCAGTAATTTTTCTTGGAATTTAAAATAAATTGAGTTTGTGTGAACCTAATCTAACCGCTAGCATAGATTTTCTATGATTACCTTCTTACCCATACACTCATCATTCATGCTGCCATTAATACCGTCCTAACGACCGTCTAAATATACAATATCCTGGGCGAGGAAGTTCTTTGTTGGTAAACTGTTAATATAATTAAGTATATGCATAATTTATTACCACACTTATTTTGACCTACTATTCTACATTTAAAGGAAAAAAATGGTTTTTTAATAACTATTAAATTCCATTATGATGTATTCAAATACATCAAGTCCTAACTTGCTCCTTGTCTATTTATTAATGCAAAGTTTTTCCACACTTTTTAGCTCCGTAGTGATGTTGTACCTAAGACAGCTGAAAATTTCCGTGCTCTGTGTACTGGCGAAAAAGGTTTTGGGTATAAAGGAAGCATTTTCCACCGTGTCATTCCCAACTTCATGTGCCAAGGTGGTGATTTCACCAACCACAACGGCACTGGAGGAAAATCTATCTACGGAAACAAGTTTGAAGATGAAAACTTTACCTTGAAGCACACTGGTCCTGGTGAGTTTCTTTTTATTGTATTCATCTTATCATGCATTTACTAGCTGTAAGCAGTGCACAATTTTTACAGATGTTTTTAAAAAGATACTGGCTACCCATATTAAAGCAATGCCAGTATATAATTTTTATATTTTGAGGTGTAGTTAATCTGTGCCTAATCTAACCCTACATTTAAAAATCCACACCAAATGCCAACAACTACATAATTAGTCCGAATTACTACTAATAAATTAAAATAGCTAATCTTGACATTAAACACTTCCATTAAAAACAAAATCAAGCAAATATGAGTCAGTAAGAAAAGTAAAACATAAGATTTTTTTCAATCGCTTAATAATATAATAAAACATTTAACCAAAGTCATCATCAAACAGTTTACAATAATTAAATTTAAATTATCATAATAGTTGCTCTACTTTTATTGATATCACTATTATAACTGCTGATTATTTTTACTTGTTAAATGAATAATAATTTAACAAACCAATGTATTTCAGGTATCCTGTCAATGGCCAATGCTGGAGCAAATACAAATGGTAGTCAATTTTTCGTCACCACTGTGAAGACATCGTGGTTGGACACCAAACATGTTGTTTTTGGTGCTATTGTCGATGGTATGGATGTTGTCAAGAAAATCGAGTCCTATGGTACTCAGAGTGGCAAAACTACTAAAAAGATCACTGTCGCTAATTGTGGACAATTAAGTTAATTTTTTATTTTCCATTTAAATGTCAAACGTATCAATTAAATAATTTGAATCAATAATTAATGTCCAATATGTGGTCTACTTAAAAATGTTTGATGCATTTACGTCTGGTATTCTGGATACATAAATTGATAATACATTCTAAATAGTTAATATTATTTTGTTTTTATTTATGTTTGTAAACCTTTCAATAATACTAATCCTGTCTATTTTTAAACTACATGACATTTTATTTTAGCAAGAAACTGTTTTCATTATCTTACTACTGTTTTAAAACTTACCTTAACACCGTGTAGCTATACAATTTCAATTTTACTGGTTATAGTATATTTAAAGCATTAAATAATTTATATATTTGAGGCTAATATGGCATTTTATGAGGTGTGCAAAGAAAAAGAATAAACTAAATTTAAATTAGTATAATAATAATATTAAGAGGAAATGTGTATTCCAATGCAATCCGGTGACAGAACAATTAAAATAACAATGTTTAACTGGCTGTGCATCGTATTTGTGGGGATATGGGAATTATAATTTTGGCACCCATTAAGATTTTAGTTATCTATACTCTGTTCAAAATAAGATTATTTATTACTCGGTAGCTGAGTTGTGCGCATGGATATGGCTTTGTTCCAAAGCACTGGTCTGGTCTCGCGTGTGAACTTGGTACAGGAAGTGTCTGATTGCTAATGATCTTATTTTGAACTGAGTATAAAATGTTGATATTATATCCAAGTATTCAAAAATTTAAATTGCCTACAGTTATTATTTTAAAATACTTTTGTGAGAGCTATGGGTTAATACTGAAACGCATTAACATATAGTAAATATGAATTGGACAATATCTGACTTCATTATTTACTCATTTATTGTTAATTGACTTCACATAATTAATTATAGCTGTTCTTAAAACTGATATAGAAAATGATTTTAATCAGGCATCCGAGAACATTATGTTGATCTCAAAACTAACTTTAAATTAGTATGTGTTTTTAGATCATGATGTTAGGTGTTGCATAGTTTAATAATATACCTCATTTGTAAGACATGTTTTATATTAACCTCCAATGTTTGATTTGGAAAATTTAGAAAGAGAATAATATAACCATAGAATCACCTACTTGTTACATAAACTAGAAGATTATTGACAATGATTTCATAAGTTTTTCCAATGGTAGTGTATGTTAAGTGTATTTGTATTTATTTATATCAACCGAAATTATGGTTTGAAGGTAAGAGCAGTATATATCTGTTATAAATATTTAGTGGTTATAGTTAACATAATATGCAATTCCGTCATTTTGAATACAAGTGCAACACATTTTAAATTATACGTATTTTTAGGGTATAATATTTATTATGTCCTGCTGATGTCTGCTCTCACTTATGGCACACAATTATGTAAATATGCACATAATTCAATATTAATTATTTTTGAAAATACTCATGGCTGTACTACTTATATTTCAATGAACAGCAATATAATATATACCGAGCCATCACTGTCTTAATTAATTCTTCCCACCTTTCATATGTGATCAATTCTATCCTTTACTTTGTAATCAAATATTTTAAGTTTTTGAGGTTTTTTAAAGTCAATTCTTATGATGGTGGCAGTACCTGTAATATTAGTTTGTTGCTCAAGTTTAATATTTTTAAAAAAGAAAAATGGTTATGAAAACTGAAATAGTGTTGTAATATTGTGGAAAAATATCTAGATAAACTAACCTAACCATTGCAATATAACTGAATATTGGGGAATTAATATTACGGGGACTGATTTTATCGAAACTTAAAAATATTATTATATACAGAATACCTACTGGGTCAGCCCTTGAGTATAGTGCATTATATAAATTAAAATTAATATATATATATATATATATATATATCAGTATCAAGGTGGTCTGGACCCCGGGGTAAATCTGTCACTATATTTTAATTATTTAATTGTAGGGTACTTCTATTAACAACACTTAATATTAATTATTTTTTTAGACCATGGGTTACTCATAAGTTGTAGTCCTTAATTTTATTTTCTGTCAATAAAATTAATTCCTTGGATCTTTAATATTATTGGTTCTTATCTAAAACTTTAGGAGCCAAAAATAAATTAAATTTGTTTTTAATTCTCGAATATCCTAGTCTTTATGTTAGCTCTGTATCTACATACATAAAACATTTTAATAATGTGGAAAATTATGTTGATCCATACATTGTTTTAAATTCAAATTCAAATTTGATAGTTATTTGTTATTTATGTAACTACCCAGCAAGTAACAACTGCCTACCTACCTGTAACTTATTACTATAAAATTAATTATAAAACGACGTATATTCAATAAAAATAAATTGTAAAACATAAAATAATATGAGTCTTTTATCTCATGTTTATTTTTCAGTCAATTTTAAAATTATAAAATAGGCTTTTGACAAATATATTATTCTTTTTTAACATACATTGCATACACTATACATGTCTTAACTCTAATTATAACATTATATAATTACAAAATGTTATAAAATTATGATCAATAGAGCTAAAGTGAGCTTATGGAAAACCAGTATCAATTCCATTTTTACTACAATAACATATAAATTGAAAATATGAAAACATTAATAAATTAATCTAATGAAAATGTTGTTTAACATGAAACATTTGGGTTCCTTATTATTTATACGATATAAGACATATTTTAGAAACTTGTTATTTAAGGTAAATAATAAATAATAAGTTTACTACAATACATTAATATAATTATACTAATTTTAATATCCAAATATAACTTATTCTTTTGAATAATAATTATTTATAAATTATAAACACTTAATTGATAATAAGAATAAAAAATGCTTTAATTATAATAATAAAAATTATTTAATGATTTAATCACAAACATTTAAAAAAAAATCTTATTAAGCACATTAGAATAGGAAAATAATTGTTGAATAAGTGTAGTAATAACGTCAACATTAAAAAACAAAATAGGACCAAAGTTAATCTATAAACTTAGTCTACCTTGTGTATTGCCAATTTACAATCGAAATCTTTTTTAATCACATAATTAGCAACAACTACAGTCCACGCATGACCATCAACTATTTTACAATATTGAACATACGAATCCATATTGGAATCTCGATTAACCATAAAAATAGTGTTGTGCTGGGGCATACATGCAAATTTCTAAAAAAAGTTTAATTAATTCATTGTAATTCCATTTTATCATAACATTTATAATGTATATATTTACCGGTGTTGATGTATTTTTTAGTTCAAATACATAATGTAAATCGTCTTTATTGGTATCTGACATTTTACCAAAACATTTACTAAAGAATAAATATACACTTAATACATTAAAACCTCCAAGACCATAGTTTCCACCGGATACCAAATAGTGTCCACCATGCCATCTCTGCACTTCAATATTTACTAAAAACAAACAAGTTACAATTATTAATAATTAAAATAGTAAGATGGAAGATTAATAATACATTTTGTTATTTAACTTACCAGCAAGAAATTCCAGACCTGTGCAATCTTTAAAAAATTGAAACATGCGTTCAGTCTTTAACAAATTAACAACAGATAAAACTGAGGCAGGCAGATCTTTTAAATCAATACATTTATAATGCCTAAAATAATAATATATATGTAACAATATTTAAATAAATAACACTGGCTAAACATTTACCTTTTGTTTAAAGGTCCACTGATTTTCCAATTCATGTCATTGGAAAATATATCATTAGATAAATAGTCTACCATGTTCTGTGTGAAGAATCCTTCGCACATTATGAACCCGTCTTTCTTGAATGTTTCTTTAATAGCTTCTCTAAACAAGGGTCTCTCAAATATTGATTCAATGCATTTTTTGGTGATATCATCACACTGAAATATACATTTTTAATTGTAAATACTGAAAGTAGTTAGCCAAAGCAATAACTAATGTGAGACCGTTTTGTAATGTGTTAAGTAAATTATCAATTAACTTTTAAATAGACATTAATTATTCACATGGCTAATACATGTTCACATTTTGTTATAATTAATAATAACACAATTGGTAAATCAAAAATGAAGGACAATCCAACAAAGATATAACTCTCTCCCAAATTTTATGATACACAACCGTAAAAAAAAATTAAATTTTTCATTTCCCCAAATTGTTTCAGTCTTGGCAGCTGAAGAACAAGACTTACATTTCCAACCAAGCTGTTTCACTATCCAACAAGATTTTGTCTACACAGAGTAACTTAAAATTTCCTAATTTTGTCCTAATAAACATAACAATTTCATTATGCTCAACAATGATTTAACTTATTGGGTGGGTTCAGATGGCTTCACTTGAAGAACTAATAAATTATTATCGTATGATCAAATAAATGAGCCCACTTAGCAAACATTATGTCTTACATCCCCCTTCCATCTAACCTTCCTGCGTTGTAATACCTCACCATCACCACTCTACTCTTTCCACAGACATTACAAATAGCCTGAGTGACCTTTTGGACACTAAGTTATCAGCATTTCAAATATACTTCAACATACAAACAAGTCGCCACTTTCTTAATTTAATATTAACCTAGCTCGTAACACCAATAGCTGTAAAATACTCAACATAACTAAAATATATAACTCAATTATAATAAACCACGCCTAAGATAACATCTGCAGTACCACCCACGCCACAAATTGACATTAGCCCCATCACAAACTTAATTCCAAAAACCAACAAATGCAAAAGCCACAGCCAACATACCACTAATCGATCAACCATTCCACATTATCAATAAATTCAATCGAGATTTCACATCAATTCTAAGCCCTCTTCCACTTGTTTAAACATCCCTAATGAATAAAATTACATTTCCTATCATTCTCACTCTATAACACTTACATATTATCTTTCGTTACATTATTACTTAACTTAGACTTACTTAAACTACTTAACTTTATATAAATTATCTCTCAAGGGGTTTTCACTTAGAAATTTTTTTTTAAGCAGTAAAAAAAATTAATGTCTTAAGTAAAAAATATTTCTGGGAACTCATTTAAATAAATAACTTTTAATATTATACTTAAGCTTTTATATAAATACCCTAACAGAAGAAACAGAATGTGGTGTAAACATTGGAGAATGAAATTTGTGTGCCTGGTTATACATTTTCCAAGAAAGTTCGTCACAGTGGAACCAACCGTTAATGGAAATACGAGCAAAGGTAGATACGTTTTCAGCCACCTATGGAATAAAACATTAGTAAGATTGTAAGAATGGTTAAGTAGATGTCAGCGCATTGAATGTTCTCTCTCTGGCCAAAGTGCAACATTGACAAAACGCAATTACACATAATCATTTTTTTTTATGTTTATGGAGTAATCTTAAAGTAAAATCTACCCTTATAAAAATTACGGAGAATTATATATTTATGTGGGTATGGCATATCAATCTGTCTAAAAAATGTCTCAAAACAATTAAAACATAGTTTATTTTATTTAGAAAGTCAAATAATAATAAAATATAAACCCATAGGTCAACCCTCAAAAGCATTATCTTCTATAATTTCAGTAATGGGTGATTTTCCACTAAGATAACTCAAAAAATGATTTTGGGTGAAAGCACTACTAAGTTCGTGGATCTGAGAGAAAACAAATTTTGTGCTGGCATCCTCTTACTTTAAATTAATAACTCGACGTACCTGGTGATAAGTATATTTTTCAACTGGGAAAAAAATCATAGTATTGAAATCTGGGTTAATATTTTCTACGATTTCTGTGGCAGAATTTGTGTCATCAACCGAATAAATATCTAATGTGCCACCCCATTCAGGAAGCCAATCATAATTTAAATAGTATATGAATGCCACAGACCTATCGTCGACACGATCATCATGGCAAAGTAAGTAATCTAAATATAGAGACAATACAATTACAGGTTTACATACTCGTTTTTGTTAAAATCAAAACAGCATAAAATACCTCCGCGGTCATATTTAGAACAAGATGCACTAATCGTATCATTAAACGTTTTGCCTAAGTAAGTAGCTATATTTTGTTTCAATGTTTCCAACAAAACTAAAAACTGTTCCACTTCCTTAGGCTTTTTAAGTTTTGTGGAGCGAATGAAATCCGGTGACTGAGAAAACGAATATAGATCACATGATTTTTTTTTAAACGTCATTGTTAGTAACGCCTCACGTAATTTAAACGCCTCGGCATTTGATATCATATCCCTACAGTCCAATTTATACACATCAAATGGTGTATTAAGTTTGGTAACTGCACCTAAAAAATTTCCAATAATAAAATGAAAACCAATCATTCGTTAAGGTAAGTATAAATAAATAAATTTATACAAACCATTAAATCTAGAGTCATCCATATTGAGTACAGTATTGTTCATTACAGGCGAGTTTGATAAAATAATATTTCAGTTCAATGTAATGCCTAGAGATATCTTAGTCCCGAGATCATAACGTTAACCGGTGATTGATATTTAATGGTAAGTACTGTAGACACTCACGGAGACTGGTCACTTAAACCGCGAATATAATAATAATAATATACTATAAAGTGAATAGGAGGTGCTACATGTCATTATTGTTATTTCGTAGCCATTTGACTGTTTGTCGTTTGAGAAATGAGAATTGTAAACAGTGAGTTTATCGTGAATTGCAATAGAAATTCAAACAAATCTTGTTTGAAAAAACTGAACGTCTTAACTTTTTAAGGTTATGGTTATCTGTTTATTTCGTGAAACTACCAGTGTTTCCCGCGAGAACAGCGCATATAGTGATTGTAGTGGTATTGGCTTATAGACTAGTTGAAAATGATAATACCTATTACCTCCAAAAAAAATGACAACTTTATAACAAAACCTTCAACAATACCATTTAATTGTGGAAAATACATAAGAAAAAATAATGGTTGTTAAAAATAAAATATAATAATTTTACTATAATATTATTGATTATTATGATAATGATAAATGAGTATTTTAATTTTTCGGGTACTAAAATTACAACTATCCCTGAACCCACGATTATAGATTGTAATAGTACTATCTATAATCGTGCCTGAACCATACCCTACCCATAGATATGAATATTGTTATTATTACTGATATATTTATTGTTGTATATATCTATAACTACCTCCAATCGTTGTTTTTGCTGTAGGTATCCATAAGATTTTGTTAGTTATATCACAGATTAAGTAAAAAAATTAAATTTTTTATCTAATCTGTAGTTATAATATCATCATAGAACAATCATGTATGTAGGTATCATACTATCATTACTGTTTTGTGATTATATTATATAACTTTAATATCTATGAAGGTGGCACTGTGGCAGGCTAGTCTAAGGCCGTGGTGGCAGGCGTATATTTATTAATCATATTATAATAATCTGGTATCTTGTTTGTGTCACTTCGCACTTGATAACAGTTGTTACATACTTATATTTTTTGAATTAAATTTCAGTCGTTTTTTGTTTGCTTAGACTAAAATGTATACTTTTAATTTGTAAACTCTTGTATATGGTCATTTTTTTATTATAAGACTCGCATTCTTCATTAATTTGTCTAAAATTTGGCATTTTATTTTCAACTTTTTAATAATTAATTACAATTTCACAATGTCTAAACAGAATATAGAAGTCTCAATTTTAAAGTCATATCCTCATCACAACATGTTAAGTTACTGCGAAAATAGACCGAAATATAGACAAGGTCGGAAACTTACAGCAATTAAGGTATTAAGATTGATGTCAGACCGAAAACAATGTATCCTTGATTAAATTGGTCAATATTTATAGATAATTCTTATGTTGTAATGTGTTCCAATTTTGTTTGTGTACAAACGATTACAGTTGGTTTTATTAAAAATGTTTCTATTGTACCTATTGGATTGACATAAATGTAAGAGAAATTCAGAGCTTTTCTGAATTGTATGATAAACCATACAGTTAACATTGTATTTACTATTTATAAAAAAAAAGTAACATTTGAATAAATAAATTCCTTAAACTTGAATTTGACTATAATAATAAGGTTTACACGGTGAATGATGAGTCACAGCATTTGTTGATCAGAGGTGTGCCATCTGTCAATTTACACGATGAAGTGGAGAAGTTATGCAAGCGTTATGGTAATGTATTAAGTATTCGACAAGTGCAATTTGAAGACCAAGAAGAATTTACTCATAGTTTTCATGTGGTATTTATCCAGATACAATCTGCCAGGTCTATTAAAATTGTAGTTCAATTTTTTCGTATATTATATATTTATATAGAATTTTAATGTATTAATATTTTAGATTTGCAAAAAAACAAATGGACACAAAAAATTTCTTTGGTGGTATTTTACATGTTTGCTATGCACCTGAACTTGAATCCATTGAGCAAACTAGATCAAAATTACAGATGAGAATAGTAGAAGTCAAAAAACATATTCATAAAATTGGTTTAGACCATACCTATAAGAAGTAATGATTAATTTTTAATTTGAATTATTGAATCCAACCATTTAAAATTTTGATTCAAAATTGTTTTATTTTAGCTTTATTAGTCTAAAATTCATACATTTTAATAAAACCGATATGAAATATTTATTTAAATGAGTTATTAAAAAAACAAATATGCATGTATTTTATTGCTATAATAACAAATAATTTCTATTTGGTATACAAATTTATATATTTTTTAGAGAATCAACTTCTGCGTTATTACAACATGATCTTTTGAGCTCATCTCACAATTCAATGGTATTTAATTATTATGTTTTTCAATTAACTTAGTAATAATATGAAATTTTTGTTTTCTTATTTTTAGTTACAAAGTTGTAGTTCTAAATCTCAAAAACAAAATCGCTGGCTCGAAGGAGGTCTCAAGTGTTCATATATCATACCTAAGCCTGACCCTTTAAACACTAAAAAAGAAACAAAAAAGAAATCTGTAAGCAATATTTACTATCAACAATAATAAATAATACATTTTAATTTTAATGAACAACTAAGTATGTTTAGTACAAATCATTTAATTCCTGTAGTTTAATGTAGATGAATTCACAATATCTGTTCTTAGTTACAGCATTAATTATAGAATAAATTGTTCTATAATCAATGGTTACAGATAGTTGTGGGGCCAGTAACCTGGAAGTAGCAACGTGTTGTATTTACAATGATATGCTTTTTTTCTGTTTGTCATAAACATTTGGGGAAGTGAAAGTTGTGATTTATTTATTTATTTTTTTAAATTATTAAATTAGATAATATTTTACAGTAGTCAGTAGAACACAACCTTTCCTCTCAAAATTGGTTTTTTTTACGTGATGATTTATCATTTAATTCAACTATAACACAACTATTATAATGACATATTCGACAAGTTCTAATTTCTCCACCTTTTTAATTATAAATAAGATTAATGTTAACTTAATATTAATAATCACATAATTTATTTATAAATGGTATAACTAAAACAAAAAGTATTTTGTGTTAGGACTTTGAATAATTGAGTCATTTTTAATTCTATAAATTGTATGGAAACTTAATGCCATCCAACTACATGGGTTTTATGCAATTAACTAAAACTATACATATTTATATTATTTTATTTCAGAATGTCAAAGATTTGACTCCATTAGATACGAATACACTGAAGTTTGTTCCTAGACAACTGCGTGTACCACCACATCCAGAATCCAAAATTAAAAAACCTAATCGCATAATATTTCATTGACATATTGATAATAGTTAAATTTATTATTTACCATGTATATTATATATACCTATATATTTTAATATTTTTTTAAAAAATGTTTTATGTATCATTGAATAATCAAATATATTTATGATGTAACAAAAATATAAAACATAAGTCTTTAAATAATAAATCTTTTTGAATTGGAACATGACTTTAGCCATAGGTAGATTAATTCAGTGGTGTAACAGCTTTTATTTTTCTTATGTAGTACAATAGTACATTCATAGTATGTTTTTATAGTACCTACTCTAACCGTAACAACTATCCTGAAAATAGATTTTTAAAAACATGTAATTTTAATAATTTTGAACAAAGGAACTTGGTATCAATTAAATTAGGTAGTGTTCTTTAGCCATAGTTGTTTATGTTTATTGATTCTTTGACTATATTGTAATAATATTAATTACTCAACTTAGGTACAATTATCAGATGTGCTTTTTATAGGAAAATATAGTGGAGCATTATATAACTTTCAAGAGTAAAAATAGGACACAAATAGATTTTTTATGTGGATAAGAAAGAGTTTAGTGGTGTAAAGATTGTAAGGTAATTCCACAAGATAATGTAGTAACACAATAAACCTATTATTGTCTTGGAGTCATGGTGTAAATGAAGGATTCTGAAGAAAATAGTGGTTAGATGGTGGAAGCTAGCAGGAGAAAATGATAAATTATTTGCGGGGGAAGAGAAGAAGAAGCAGGGTGGAATATGGAGGGAATTTTAATGAAGTCTAGGATAGGGCAGAAAATGTTAGTTAAAGTTTAACAGAGTTAATATTGTTGGTGAGTGTAAAATGCAGTATTCTAAAGGATAATGACACATAGAGTTGGGCTGATAGGAACAGAACTTAAAAGCAAGGAAGATAATTCAATTTAAAGAAGAAGAGAATCGTGGTTTTAGTTCAAAAGACTAAATAAAGAATGCAAAAATGCTTATGGAGAAGCAAAACTTAAGAAGTTTGATGACCAGTATAAGAGCCTAGGAACGAATAGATATATATAAATAACTCCGAGAAAATAATTGGTTTGTATGGCAAGGCAATTGGCATTTGGCAGTCATATAATATAAAGAAAATATTGTTTTCATAAAATCGTTTTCATGGAAGAGTAATTTTCGAAAATATTTAGAGTTGTGACCATTAACCACATACTTGACACATTGGCCAGCTGTCTGTCTGTGTTGTTGCACTAAGCCCTTCAATTAATGTAGGAGGAATGTGAGGCTGAGGAAGACCTAAGAAGAATCTAGATTGATGGAATAGAAAATTACATGAAAATAGTATGAACAAATTAGAAGTGTAGGACATAAGCTACGGAGGTGTAAGACAAGCGTAGCCACTCCATACAGATTGGAACGAGAGCAAATAAAAAAAAAATAAGTAATACACATGAAGTACAAAACTACAAAATGTTGTAATGTTTTGTTTATTTGGAATGGACTATTTCGTCTCCTATCAAAGCTTGCTGTGAGTAGGCCGCCAGGACGTCAGGTTACAATTCATATAATTAATAGTTCATAATTTGTATTTTATATTGTATACCTAAGCAATAAATTATGGGTATTTTGTGTAATTCGACGACCAAAGCAAATTATTGCATCTCATGTGAATTTGTAGTTTACTTAAATCGTATTTGCATTACAATTTACAATATAACAATTAACAATGATAAAAGCTTTAGACGCCAAGTGACGTGTATTATATTCCAACGTATAGTTTTCATCTAACCACTAGATAGTGTCATTCAATTCAGCTATGATTCAAATTTGAATAAAATTAGAATATTGGAATTTTTTAATCTCATGCATACATAAATTAGGTCTTCAATTTTTTCGTAGATGTTTCTAAAGATGGTGCTTAACGACTACTATATTTGATAAAACAAGATTCAAATTAAAATAGCCTTATGAAACATTGTATCATAGAAAAGAGATTATATTGTACCTTCTTACTTACAACTTACTACATAGACACATAGTGTTTTAATGCCCGAAACATAGGTATCAACATTTGAATATAGATAGAATATTGTCTGAAAACAGTCATACTTAGCTAAGCTATCATGGACGGATCTAGGGGGGGGGGTCAGGAGGTCAGCTGACCCACAGTTAATATATCCTGACCAAATTGGCTTCTTGGTGAGTTTGCTTCTTTTCAGATCAATAGATCATGGATTCTTGGGTAGTTAGACACTTGGACCGTTGGATCCGTTGGATGTATCCATACCATCCCCGCGCCGATAAAATTAGATTATACTTACAAATTGAAAATAAGTCTTATCGCTAAATAATAATTCTATAAAATACATTAAAATTATATATAAATAATATGTATATATTATATTAATGGGTCTAATGATATAGTAATACTAGTAATAATATACAAAATTGTGTATGCCAGTTGCGACATGCGTGTACCCAGAACAGAACTAATGACCCTATATTATATAATCTGGCGTAAATCCGTAGCCGAATAATAATAATTCTGTCATTATTTCTATAATATCTTTCGCTGTCTCTTTACCACATAATGATATGATATTCTTGATTGCCATACAATCAAAATAAACTATTTAAGTCAACAAATAACCAATGTTACCATAATATTGTCATCAATGTCATCGTCGGACGTCCGACACGAATGAAAGAAGTGTTTTAGTTTTGATTATGTGAATTGTGATAGGTGGTTTTAATATGATGTATTTTTAAATTATAAGCAGTTGTAAACTTTAAATTCTAAGTATGGAACCATTAGAACCATGTCAGCGCAGCCACCTTAAAAAAACTCGTCTCAGGTGGGGTGAGAAGACTTCTGTAAGAGAAAGAAAAATCTTTAAAAGGAAATCAAACTATTTTATCATGTGTTCAAACTTTTAAAAAACAAGGTAGTATTCTATTAATTATATATTATACTTTATCATATTAAATACTAGTATACTACCTATTAAGTAGTTAATATTTAACAATAATGTTTCATTACCCATCGGGTAGTTTTTCTTTTAAACACTGAGAAAGTGAGAACCAAGGTGAGTTTTTGGAAATAAAATTAATTCAGTAATTTAAGTTCATCATTGATGGCTTTGAAATTAATTATTTATTAATTATTATTATTAGATATATATGTGATTTCTGATTATAAACTAATAATTTAAACACTTATAGCATAACTAAAAACCAGGTATGTTTTTTTTACCAGTACCTTTAATTTATAGGTATTATATTTTAATAAATTGATCCTTCAATATTTTAGATTAATATGCCAACTTGAATACTGAAGAAAATAGAATACCAGAATATCCAGTCACAGTAGTTAAAATAAATTTAGACCAAAATGTTGCTAATGAAATATAAGGTAAATTAATTAAAATATTCCAAATTAAGTAACATTAAATATAATTTTGAATATGATGTAGTTATGATTGTTATGAACATAAATATTATCTTTTGTATCCTCATTCCTTGTATGTAATTCATTTTTTCTTTAATATCCAAATAATTATTTAATGCTTAAATAAACTATTATTAATGATACAATGTATTTCAATAAAAGTACACTATACTACTATAGTACATAAATTCTAGTCCTAATAATGAACATTATTTTTTCGATTGTTTTAGAACAATTAATAACACCACAGCACTTAAACTCAACCGACTCAGCTTATGATTCAGTACAGTCAATTTTGATGGACAAATCTGTATAATATCCATCAGATCCTGATTTATTTCGAGAAAAAATACTTTCAACACCCCTTATAAGAGCTCTTATAGAAATAGGGCCTTGCCAGCCAAGTATTGATGGAAAACATTTTGTTTTTCCAAAAAATGTAAATGGTCAAAGTTTTATTTTAAAGTGGTATGAAAAAAAAACAAAGTCAAATTTTCTTTGTAAACGTAGCTGGTTAGTTTATTCTCCAAGTAGCAATAAAATGTTCTGCTTTCCATGTTTTACCTTACTATTTCTCAATATCATTATCAGTGGTCTGGTTCATCTAAAGGTGTTTCAAATTTTCGGAAGGGTCACGAAAAAAATTGTTGAGAAGTTAAATGAACACAAAACTGCTGAGAGAGAATATTTAATATTAAGAACACGAATTAACAACGACATTTCCGTTGTGCATAATATAATTCTAGCGGGAAAAAAAGAAAAGGAACATAATCGCAACTTTTTAAACGATTAATTGATTTATCTTTATTCTTTGAAAAAAATGGTCTTTCATTTAGAGGTCATTGAGAAAATGCTAGTTATAAGACACCAAACCAAAGACTTTCTATTGAACTTGTTAAGTTAGTTTCAAAATATGATGCTGTTTTAGCAAAACATCTTGCAGAATCAAATAAAAATGAAACTTATTTAAGTCGTATGATTCAAAATGATATAGTTAAATCTATGGCGCATGAAACTGTTCAGTTAATATTAAATAAAATTAGCCAAATATTTTAGTATAATCATTGATTCAACTAGAGATATAAATAAGAATGATCGATTTTCTCTTAGCTTAAGATTTGTTGACAAAGAATGAAATATAAGAGAACATTTCATTTGTTTTGAAGAATTATCAGGTTATAAGTTCAGAAAAAATTGATTTTGATAAAGTCATCGAAACCTTTGCTCAAATGAAAAAAAGAAGAAAACTATTATAATTTAAATAATGAAATAAATACACTTATAGTAATTATCATTTTTTTTTTTATTGTACTCGAGTATAGATTTCCAATCAAGTTTTAACCTTATTAAGTGGCCTCTTGTAATGGCCTGACCCACAGTTTCCCAACTGTGGATCCGCCCCTGAAAGCTATGTGACCTTTTTTTAAGTACCTAGTTTCATCTAATAAAGAATTTTTTCGGAGTTTCTTGAATAAAAAAATTAAATTATTATGGTTAGTCGGATATACGTATTTTATCTACTGCAATCGTACGGCTAACAGTGACCTATAAATGGACCTATATATAGCTTTGGTGAGCCGAACGTATGTTGATTTTTTCCCCCCTACCATGAATAATTAGGAGGCCATCTTCACATTGTATGCATTGTTATTATTGATTTCAAATCATCACCGGATATAGGTAATTGCTAATCCATTTTTGTGATTACATTACTTTTGTTTATATTATTAGGTATCTATAGGTACACTACCTATTTACGCTGTCTGCTGTGCGTTTGAATTCCACTCAGGTCATGTCATTTATGTTTAGTATTAGTAGATTGTCCATTGTGCATTAGGTTGGTCGTGGGTGTGAAGGGTTATAATATAATATATAGTGCGTTAAAGGTTTACCGATGTAACTGTGTAATCCTACTATAAACACGTGTCCTTCGCCGATTTGGCCTTTGGTCACGTTCTCACACAAGCTCGTTTTAACGGCTTAGGTGCCTCCGCTTTAATATATTGTTCCACGCCATCATGGTACTTCGCAATGGTTGCTATACCCGCTAACTACACTGTCTCGATTCGTATATTTTGTAGTCGAATCGCAGGAATGCAGATGCAGGCCAACGACTAAAATATATTAAAATTTAAAACACCACAATTTTTTTCTTTATTTTTCTTTTTTCTTCAAAAACTGAATTGAATGGGCTCCACATTCCACCGAACATAGTAATAGACAATAAATAATAATATTGTCATCGATATTTTTTACCGCCCTGTTTGAATAAACTATTGTAAAGAATATTAGTATATTACGATTAGTATCAAATAGTTTTTATGTTAATATAAGGCAAGTGTTAACATTTATATTTAATTAAATTACTTTTATTTTTATTTAAGTCCAAAATTACTTATGATTCATCTATTGAAGAGTATATTTAAAAGTTGACATAATAAAATTGTATACAACACAAAATTAATTAATAACTATAAGTCTTATTTATAAATAATAAATATATTAGCTATTAGCTTACAGGAGGTAGGTTATCAAAACTGTACCTATTTGTTAAACTTGTTTAAATTTGTAACCATTTATTTTGATTTATAAATAAAAAAATATTAAATAACCTATACATTAAATATAGTTTATTATTATATTATTGCTCATAAAATAACATAGATCAAATCAAACATATAGTTTAAATAACTTTCCATGATTTATTTGTCTTTTAATAATTACACAATTTGTACAATATAGGTAGTTGGTATTGTTCGTTTTCTGAAACAGATGTTCATATTATGAATGTCCATTTAACTGCATAATATGTCCAAACTTCGCTATTTGGGCACCCAATTCAAGAAAAAAATGATTTCACAAAAAGTCAGTGATGGGACATAGTAGGTACCTCTAGGATCAGGTATATTTAGTACCTATTTGTCAACCGTGCAGGTTGGTAACTTGAATACCATATGCTCTTCTTTCAAGTTTATTGATACGATTAAAATTAATTTTTTAAGAAACATTCAATGTGAAAAATTGTTTATATAGCATTACACAACTTGACTAGTAAAAGTTTAAAATCTATAAAGTTTTAAAACATACTGCAGCCTTTTAAATCTATTTTGTTTAGACACATTTTTACAACTTATTTGAAGTACCTAGATACTTGTTGTGTTTCTAGAGATTTTATTGTATTGTCCATTTGTCCACACAAACTTCCCGTGCTATTTAATCATTTTGAAAAATTGATTTGTGCAATATATTATAATAAATAGTGCACATAATTTATTTAGATAAAATTTAGTTTAACTTGTATATTTGATTAATAAGTAATAAATTACTAACCTCGATCGCATAACCATAATTTGTATATTCCAACGTACATTCCAATCAATAATTATTATACTTTTAATATTTCACTTTAATACTATGTGGGAAAGTACTCTGATACTATTTCACAATATTATTCAAATACTCGTATATTCAATAGATTGACGCTCTGTACACTGTATTACGTGATTATGGATCTTAAAGATATCTATAAATATATTAATTTATAAAGTTTATGCACACGAATATATTATAACTTATATGTGTCATTTTTATAGCTATAGTTAAGAATAGCTAACCTTACGCACTTCTACACAGTTTAGCTATTAGTTATTATGGTTATATTGTTATTGTAATACAAGCGTATTATTACGCCATAATCATGCGCACATAATTCTCGATATTTCTACGCGTTCCGCCACTCACCATTAAGCACGTGGTTTTATTATTTTACTCCCTAACACATTTCATCCGGTTCTTATTTGATTATTATTATTTATTATTATCGTTATTATTTTTTTATTATTATTTCTCGTGTGTATGTGTGCGTGCGCCCGCGTTGCAGTGGGAAAAAACGCAGCCACCGTCGGCCGGCCGTCCGTCCCCTAAATAATATTCCCGTGTAGGGTCGGCGAACGTTACTTTTGGGCTTTACGTGCGCGCAGCGGCGGCGGTGATGCTCTTTCGGTATATTTTGAGTTAAAACAATATGTCACGCGGGTGCGAGTATAGTGTCGGCGGCGGCGGTGGTTTTTACGTCTCGGTGAAGGGCCGGCCGCCGCAGCGCCCGCGGATGGGTACGCGCGTAGACGGACGTGAAGTGCGGAAACGGACAGAGTGGCAATTGAAATAGGCCCCTCGCCGCTCACCGCGTGTAGATCATTCTCGCGCCCATCGATTATGTATATACGGTTGATATTATTATATATTAACACGCTCGCATTACGATCCCCTCGTCGAATTCCGAGCCACCTCCGTAGGTATTAATCGGTGGTAGGGGAGCAAGCATGTTTCACGCAGCCCAGTAAAAACCTAATTTTCTCTACAATTCGTTTGGTGGTACCTAAGTTTCAAAAACACGTCGGGGCAGGTACAAATATGAAATAATAGTATAAATGTCACTAGATTAAATCGTAATAATATACATATTTAATTTTAAATCAACACGATATTCTGCTTAATAATACGCACTTGATGCCCTTAACTGAGGGTACTATTGTCACCCATATATGCACATACGGTAGTTCTCACACTGCGCCCCGATGATCGGTTTTTTACTGCAGCAAAAGCGGTCAGTGATCTATATAGTCCATAGTTATGTTTAAATGTATAATGTAAGTAAATACAGAGTGATAAACCAACCACGTCCACTTCCATTTTTCCTTTAGTATTTAATTTATTCAAATTCTGATTTGTTGTGTATATAAAATAGACAAGAACCGCATTTTCAATCCTTTAAATTGTTGATAACATACAAGAAGTGCCTTGTACTCTGTGGCAAACTTTATGATCAGTATACAGTATTAAAATATATATAGTATCTATTTTAGATGATTTTTCAATTTCCACTCACAGATAATTTAATAGTCTTGCAAATACTCAGTATAAGGCAAGGACGGCGTAAACACGGGCTTTTTAAAGTAGCTTAACTGTCGCGTTGAAGGGTCACCGTCATCATTGGCGAAGAGGGTCAGTGAATGAAAGGGTATCAATGAAATAAACCGATTATAACGGTTTAGTAAACAAAAGGGTTTATTTTAGATCGAACTTTGCAATAGATATTCTCGTCTTCTCGTACTATTACTTCGAAAGGGTACGTTTCCTATTTGCGCCACCTACGACCTACACAAACTAGTACCTACCTACCTATACGTAATTACTTACATCAAACATAATATGTGAGCTTTATCACCATAAAAAAAACATTCTACAACAATAATACAAAGATAGATTGATATTTTATGGGAATCAATATATTCGGGGTGTAGGATTTTATAAAAAGTCATCAGGCGAATCATATTCTCTTACACTTAATATTAATTTGTATTTTATGATCATTGGGCATAGTCAAAATCCACACCTATCATAAATATACGAGAGAAGTAATATTTACAAAATTAAAACTATTTTTTTTTTATTTTAATTTTTTTTATTAGAACTTTTAGCAATAACTATTACAGTTCAGCAATTAATTAATAAATATAGGATGCAAAGATTACGATTTAAGATAACATGATACATGATACATGATAACAAAAGGCAATTAAAGATTATAACTATTACTTGACATAATTGAAACGGAAAAGGTATGCTTTGTTTATTATACCAATGTTTTTCTTTTATTGTATAAATACAGAAACATCTATGAACATTTTTATGCCGTCTCACGAATAGGATGATATATTTAATGAAATCCGAAATAAATAAATAAAACTCAGATACCTTTTAGAAAACATATTTCCACACCCTCCATGACATCATCATTTTCCGTCGAGATTTCGCTTAAGTAAGACGTCCATAATCGTTGGCCCTCATTATTATGAGGTACTGCCGGCCACTGGCCGTCGAAGATGAATAACGGCTTCTATTACTTATTTTTAACGCACGAGTAGGTACGTATATATACAACGCATGCAATACAGTAAGGGGGGAATTTGAAGCTGACAAAGCGGTTTTCTCTCTCTCTCTCTCCCTCCCTCTCGTTGTAAGTATAGTCATC